CCAATGTTTATTCTTATTGCCGATTTTACTATTTATGGAATGACTAGGAAATATCACATGACAAAACAATTTTTATTAGAAATTTTTTCCCAAAATTCGTCGTCGTGGCGCAGTAAGTTGCGGGATTAGGTGTCCTGCACTGTAGCTGACCAAAAGGATCTATCCTAGCTGTGGTGACTCTTTAACTTGTGAAAGGTGCTTCTAATTGATGCTTCTGAGATGGTCACATAAGGTTGATACTCCTGTTGTTGCCTTATACTTGGTTGCACATATTTTACAAACATTATATCCTTGTGCATAAGATGGATTTCTATCAATATCCCCATGCGGCACTCTTTACTGATATAATTGATGACATATTTGATAAAGTAGTAGAATATACAATACTAAAAATTTGGTTAATAGACTCACCGGGATGAAGGATTTATGTTATCAAAGCCATCTTGATAGTGGTCACTAAATTCTTGATTGTTGAATGTTTGCTGATCCATTATATGATTATATAGAGACCAAGGAATATTATGACTTGTATTGTAATCAATTTTTAATTATTATATCAAAGGTAATATTGATTTTAATTATTATGTCAAATGTCAAAGATGTAAAAGGATATCTATCCTTTTTATATTAGTTGAAAATGATAAACAAAATGAGTAGTCTCCATGATTATTTTTACCATTACTAAAATGATTTATTTTTTCAAACCGGGAAAATGTGGAAGCAACACGATTAAAATAACTCACTACTACTATTACTATGTTACATTTAATTTGCCTCTTTTCCAAAAAAATTGTAATTGATTATCATTTTAAAGAAATGTGGAAGCAACACACCATTACTATCATACAAACAATTTAAAATGATTTATTTTTTCGAATTGGAGCATATGAAAGTAACACTATTAAAAATAACTATAACTATTTCTTTTACTATTATTTTTACAATGGAATGATCGAGAGATATGGAAGTGACATTGTTAACAATAATCCACTAATATACAATGATAAATTCAATTCGCCTCCTTTCCAAACAATTTATTTTTGCTATTATGATACACTGTTCATTCTATTAAATAATTCAATTCGTTCGTTATTAGAAATGTGTCGTATTGCCAATTTTCATCCTTTAAATTTTAAAAATCGTGGCATTATATACTTTCAAGTTTGACGCTGTGATTGGCTGATACACATCATTTAAAAGATGCCCTTTTAAACAACAGAATTATTTCACTTAATATATTTATACTGAAAAAATAGTGTATTTTAAAAAGTTAATAAATTTAGGAATGGCATTACTTGAAAGATTATTAACGTCAGACAGAAATGAATTAGTACGGAAAATTTATGGTGTAATGAGTGATAATGCTTTTCAACCACCTCTAACAGAGAAAATCAAAAAAATGTTTTTTTACAATTCGTTGATGAAAACAAAGAACTATTAGAAAATGAAAAAAAATATTGCAGGGAAAAGTATATTTATGGTATTGAATTAGAGAATGCAATTTATAAATGGAGAGAACCAAGAGAATGTGACAAGTGTAAGACAACCAGATACTCTAATAAATTTTGTGAAAAATGCATTGGTCTACGCTTACAGAGTCTTTTCACTACTTGGACATCTGAAAATGAGATTATTGATGGTTTTATTCGAAAATGTCAACAACATTCATCTCTTCCAAATGGAATTATAGAATGGATACCTTATGAGCAATTTGAAAATATAAAAAAGTTAACAGAAGGTGGACCCAGTTCCATTTATACTGCCACGTGGACAAGAGGAAGTATATATGATTATGATGAAATTAAAAAGGAACTTATTTATTTTGGAGCTCGGCCTGTAGTATTAAAATCATTGAATAATTCAAGTAATCCAGGGAAATCTTTTTTTAATGATGAGGTAATTGATCTGATCTAAATTTTTTTTAAATTAATTGATTTATTTATTTGTTTATTCATTAATATAATTAATCACAGGCATGGATTATTGTAAAATTAATTCAAATTTAATAAAAACATCAAATTCTACTACACCTACATCGTTGATTTTGCCAACTTCACCAACAACATTGACAAGGTCGCCCAAATTGATGCCATCATCAATTGATAATAAAGATGGCAGTAACAATAGCTTGTCATCATCAAAAAATTCAACACCTACAACTTGTACAATATGTCATACTCAAACCACACCATTATGGCGTCACAATCCTGAAGGTCAACCATTATGTAATGCTTGCAGTCTTTTCTTAAAATTACAAGGCGTAGTTAAGCGTTCAAATCTAAAGACTGTCATGATGAAAAAACGTAATCGTAATGGCTCAACGTCAACAATTAAAACCTCTGTTAATAAAACTGGTAAAAGTACAGTTCAAACGGGTCTTGGTGGTCCAAGTATGGGCATTGTGGGTAAAGGAATTTCATTATCGATGGCTTTAAAGCAACATCATCAACACAATAATGGCATTAATGGTCTTATGAGCAGTGGTGGTGGCTTTAATAATAATATACAACAAACAGCAGCTTCTATGTTATTAGAATCTGCCCCAAATGCTGTAATGCGATATGCAAATACTGCATCAACAACAAATAATTCTTTTCAGTCAATAGCTGCTACTGTTGCATCATCATCAAACCGTCAAAGGAGATTGTCAAGTGATGAACAACAAATCTTGTATGCTACTCAAATATACAGACCGTCGGATAGCAGCCCAATTGATCCTTGTTATGGTATAACTAAATTCCCAGAAAATGGTAATTTTGCAATGATTCTGAATTATTACCCACAAGGAAATTTAAGAGATTATTTACAAAAAAATCATTCAAACTTGACATTAAAAGATAGAATTAATATTTTTATCTATTTGTGTAGTGCATTATATTATATACACAAGGTAGATTTAATCCATTGTGATCTACACAGTGGTAATATATTAATAAATGAAGGTGGTGGTGTTCGTATTACAGATTTGGGATTATGTGGTCCAGTTGATGAAAAATCATCAAATAAAATCTATGGAGTTGTACCATACGTTGCACCAGAGCTATTTAGAGGAAATAAGAATACAAAAGAATCTGACATTTATAGTATTGGAATATTAATGTGGGAAACTTTTGCAGGCTATCCACCATTTGATAATAGAGCTCACGATCATCACTTGATGTTAGATATACTTGGAGGCTTACGACCACCAATATTACCGGGGATGCCTGATGAGTATGTACAAATGATGCAGAAATGTTGGGATATGGATCCAACCAAGAGACCAACTATTAGAAAGCTTTTGGAATTTGCTAATAATAAATTTAAAACTATAGGTCTTTATGAAAATGGTTATGGTAGTAGTAGGAACAATAATAGTAGTAATTCGCAACAAATTCACAAATCACACCCATTAGCATACCATACAAGTAGAATATTAAATAATGACATTTCTCTGTTAAATTTAACTAAGGCCATTCAAATTTAGAAATCTGTTTAACATTATCTTTAGAAAAAAAAAATATCTTAATATTAATTTACATGATCTACCTTGATAAAAATCATGTAAAAATTCTTTAGAAGCTCTTTGACAATCAAAACGTTAGTTTAAATTCAAATTTCTGAAAAAAATGAGGGGTTGATGTTAAACAGAACTTCAAGTTTGAACGGCCTAATAAAGACTTATTTGACTATGAAATATAATTTTAATGAGGCAAATTAAATAGTTATTAATTGAATTTTATCAATTACTAATTTAATTATTATTATTAAAATTTTGAAAAATAGAGAATCGCTGATGAATAATTTTTTAATTATATTTATTTTCTTTTATTTTCTTTTTAAATGTAAAGCAAACAAATTATAAATTCGTAGGTATGAAATTTAACTGTAGTAAAAAGTGGATTTAACTATTCTCACTGTAATCTAATCATTTTGTGGCCGCCAGGAAACATACCAATTAGTTGTGGAAATGATTCCAGTCTTAAATATAATATTTTCAAATGAAAGTTACTTTCGGATTAAGATGCTTGATTTGGTTCCGTGAATTGATCGGATTATCATTATTATATATTATTATGTGTATTGGATCATTTAGTAACTTATCAATTGCTTAAACAAATCATATAATATATATTCACGAATAAAGATACTCGTTTCATTTTTTTATAAAACATATTACGCGTCTTTTTTCTATTAGTGCTAAAAGATCAGCAATATTAATTTTTCTTTCTATATTCACAATCCAATCAAGATCAAAGTCAACTTTTGTTTAGATAGCTTGTCCCGTATTTGTTCACTAATGCTAAAGATTATCTTTCTAAGATCGGGAGTATTTGATTATTTGAAGAAAATTTGCAGAAAGGATTTTGATCCTAATTACTATTACATAATAGATGATAGATGTCTGATTAAAAATATCAATTTTAATTATTTCTTAGAGTTGAAGTAATTTTGCAGACATTTCGTGATGTTAATAACTACAGTGAACTCTCCCCAAATGCAATTACTATGTTTTGCTTCCTCTAAATTCAAGCCTGATATAGTCCCATATTACTAAGATCTCTATACATTTCACTCCATACAGTCCTCTCTTTCTCTAAATGCATGTAATGATTGATTTTTCTATATCTTGAGGCATTTAGGGAAAGTTCACTGTATTACTATTATTTTTTGAGTGATTATTATGTTATTCATTAACCAATAATCAATAATTGATATTAAATATAAATTTAAACAGCAAATTAACATAGGAATGTGATGATAACGAAGATTAAATTGTTTTTGGAGAAGTGGAGATTTGTCGCATTGTAAAACATTAATTTTCAATATAATAATATTATATTATCATATTACTGGGAAACCTATTAACACAATTGTATAATTTAGCCAAAGAAGAATTTATTGAACCAACTGAACTTACCATAAAGTTTGTGGATATTCCTTTGTTTGATGGTGTACGTGGATAAAATAGTCTTGAAATTTATTTTATTTCTTCTCTTTTTAATCGAAAATATATAATATGATTTATCCAGCATTGGAGGGCGTAAAACAAAAGGTACGCATTCTCTATTTGTACATCAAAGAAATTTTGAGCTTATCTGTAAATTTTGATTAATGTCGATTCTATTAAAAATTGAGGGATTTTGGACTTGGAATCATCTGATTTTTAATCAATTAACAACTATAATCACAAATAATCATCAATTAACACTGGAATATCTCCAAGCGATAATCAATTAACAACTATAAGTGGCATGGCGGATATGACGTAATTTATTTGGGAAGTGTTTAAATACAAGAAACTTAGACGAAATTGTGCTGCAATGAAAACTTTTTTGAAAAATGTGAATAGCTTAAGTTTAATAAATATTTGTACTATAATTTTATTTTTATTTTTTTTCAACTTGTATCTGGAATATTTTAAAGTGAACCCACACATTCCAACTGCCTTTGATTCTAAAAAATATAGCGTAAATTTACTATATTTACTTGTACATTTTTTCTTTTTAAATGCGCTAAAAATGAAATATATACAATTTTAAGAAGTGAACTCAATGCTAATAAGGAAAGGCGAAACAAAATCACAACAAGATAGCTTTAACTTCAATACCAGTCATTAAATTTGAGTAAAAATATAAAGTATTAATAATTTCGCTTAAACATTTCGAATTCAAACTTGGACTTTTGACTAAAATCAAAAAAATCAAATATTAAGATACTTTGATTAGCGTTAAGATGTCCGTCCATCTAGCGAACATACATTTAAGATTTGTTGTTCTTTCATCAAATGATTCGATTTGCGTGCAAACATTAATATTAATATCATTTATGCGCAAATTTTTTTTTTTAGCAAAAGATCTGCCTTTTTATGCACGTGTAAATGTGTCAAAAATAAATTAGGCTACAAACTTGGAAATATGACAATCACTTTCATTTCATTTGACGATTTCGTCAAGTGTAACTGCATATAGTAATAGCGTAGCAATTAAATAATCTAGCCAAAAAAAAACAAAAATGTCTTATCTAATAAACGCAGTTCGTAGAATGTAAGTTTGTATAATAATGAGAACAACAACTACAATCGTTATTATGGCTTTTAACAACTTTTGATACAATTATGTTAATTTATAGAAAATGCTCGTATTCACTTGCAGACCTCCAAGCTAAAGTTAGATCTGCGACTTCGAATGCTCCAGGATGTGCAAGTTGTACATTAATGGCTGAAATTGCTGAAGCAACATTTAATCAGTGAATAAACATTTAGAACTTTTTTCTTTTTTTCTTTTTTCCTATATATACCTACTAATTATTAATTATTTGCATATCAGTGATAACTTTTTAGTAATTATGGAGATTCTTGAGGAAAGATTAACATATCGTGATAAAAATTGGAGGCATGTTTTCAAGGTAAGTTTCATTTATTAAAATTTTTTTAATTAACTAATCTAAAAATATTTCTTAAATAATCATTTTCCTTTTCTTGTTATAGGCACTTATTCTATTAGATTATTGTCTTCACATAGGATCACAGGAGGTCGTTATATACACAAAAGAAAAGTTAAACTTAGAACCTTTAAGAAAATTTCAATACATTGATGATGATGGGAAAGATCATGGCCGTTATGGTACAAACAAATTATCATTTTATTTTAAATTAACAAACAAATGAACGGTTTTTAATCTTTATAATTTTATTTAGTTCGACATAAAGCTGAGGAAATTGTTAATGACAAACATTTACAGTACGAAAGAAAACAATATGATAATTTGAGACAAAGACTGCGTCATAATAAAGAAAAGTATATAAAAAATTTATTAAAAACACTTTAATATTTATGCAAATAATGATATTTATTCATTTATTTTTAAAATATATTTTATAGTGATAATAAAGAGGATTTTCCTGGGACTAGGTAAATCAAATTTTTTGTTTTCCTGCGGAAAAATTAAATTATTAATACACATGCACACAACATATGCATATATATATTAAGTAATAATGACGATCAAGATAATCAACCACCTGATATTACGAATGAAGAGACAGCTCCTTCGCCACAATTACCAAAACCACCAACACCTCCTCCAGTTATAAAGGATGAGCCAAAAAATGGAATAGCCAATGAGAGTTTGTTAGGATGGCTTGATGAGGCAATTCAGAACGAACACATTAATTTTTATGAATATAGTAAGTTTAGAAATCTTCAAAAAATTGGCTCAGGTAGTTCTGGAAAAGTTTATAAAGCGATATTTAGAAATGGCAGAACTTTTGCTTTGAAATCCCATAAAGATGGTATAACAAATATGAAAGAAGTTATTAATGAGGTAAATTATGATGACATGTTTTTGGTTGTGGATTAAAAAAAATTTTCAACTGACAATATTTGACTCAATTAGTTGAAATTATTACGTAAAGTTGACTATCATCAAAATATTATTCGTTTCTATGGCATTACTAAGAATGAAGGTATGTTTAAATTGTTTCCTATTTTGATTTTCTTCTATTAATATTAACTAATATTTATATTTAATGTATATATAAAGAAAATAAAAAATATTTATTGGTCCTTGAGTATGCAGATAGTGGAACACTAAGAAGCTATCTACAAGAAAAATCTGGATCAATCAGTTGGGATCTAAAACTGCAATTCGCAAATGAGATTGCATCAGCTGTTTTATGTCTACATGAAAATGATATTATCCATCGAGATTTGGTAACTAAATAATTTCACATTACATAAATTTATTATTTTTAAAGAAAAATTATATTTAATAATGTTTATCTTTTTTGAAAAGCATTCAAATAATTTCTTGGTTCACCAAAAAACCATAAAATTGGCAGATTTTGGACTCTCTCGTAAAATATTTGAACCTGCAACCACTTCAACATTCAAATTGGCAGGAATAACAGCTTACATTGACCCACAATGTTTCAAGCATAGCAATAATCTAAATAAACAAGTATATAAACCAAACAAAAAATCAGATGTATACAGTGTGGGTGTTTTATTATGGGAATTGACTAGTAACCGACCACCTTTTAGTAATCTTGATCCACACCATCAAAGATTTACCTTAGCAATTGATATTTCCCATGGAACTCGTGAGGAACCCATCCCTAATACACCTGATGAATATGTTAATTTATACAAAAGTAAAAAATCTATACATCTATTTAAAAACTATATATTTATATGCATTAAATTTTTTGTTAATCATTTTACTTGTATCTAGCATGTTGGCAGGATGACCCAAAGAGCAGGCCTGATATTCAAGATGTTGAAAAGATGCTTAATGAAATGATTTCAGGCTCAAATATAGTTGATGGAGAGGAAATTAATGAACAACAAAGAAATGAAGACAGTAGTTCTTTCAGTCATTTCGGTACTATTTTAACAGAACCTACCAGTATTGATATTCTGCAAACACAATTTGATAAGATTGTTGAAGTTGATATAGTCAAAGAAGAGTAGGCAGAACCCCGAAAACTATACAGATAGATAGCTTCATATATAATTAATTCTTAATTGTAAATAATTATAATATATATTATTTAATATCATTTATTATTAATATTTTCTTATTTGTATTTTATATATATTATTATTATTATTATTTGTATGTATATTTATGTGTGTGTGTGTGTGTGTATATATATATATATATATATATATATAATTTAATTAAAATATTAATTGTAAATAATTTATATGTATGGGTCCTTCAATAGATATGAGGACAAATCACATTCCTATGTGCAATTCATTGTAAGAATTAATTTTAGCATAGAAACCATACCACTTTGCTTAACAAAATCTTGAGATATTCATAAAACATATACACAGTGAGTCTTGATTTAGTGGATCTTGATTTAATAATCTAATGGATTGAGCGATTGGGCCTAATAATAAATCCTTTTTACTTGTAGATTCCTCCAAAAAATGGAAATATGAGAGTAGTTTTGAGGCCAAGATCCTTTTTCTAGAAATTTACAAGGAATTAAGTTTCAAAAATTGTAGATATCTTCATAATATCTTTTAACATCCATCATCAACACTACTAAAGCTTGAAAATTCAATCAACCAATCATTATCCATTTAGACAAATCACATGACATAACAATTGCATATAATAACTTCTAGTTTTGAATTTTAAAATTTTTCTCAAAATTGGCATTGCGATCCAGAAAGTTCAGCAACTAAGTAGACTTGCACTATAGTACATTCCATTTATTCTATCCTTTTTTCTCGATTCTTTTCACAATCATTTTAGTAGCATAGGTTTATTTAATTTTTTATGTGAAAAAAAAATTGGTGCATGTGGTACTGTATGTATAAACTCCTCCAAATTTCCAAAAGTTCTGAAAACTGTTAAAAAATTAGAGTGGAATACACTTAGTGGAGTTGTTGTAGATGATGTATTATCAATTTTGTGGATGGATAATGGTCCAGTAACAATATTGTCTACAATTCATGAGATTACTGGTCCAGAAAATAGAATATATAAAGAATGTTGTCCAAGAGTTACAAGTACCAATGCACCAAACAGCAGTGAACACCATTATTGGTCAGAATTTGGGCATCGTTTTTTCTCAAGAGCATTACAAGAGTTTGTAGGTCTCCATTAGAGGGCGTAAGTCTAGAGTAAATTATGGATATAACCTAACAACAACAACCATAACAATAATCATAATCATCATAATCATCATAACCTTCATACTCAAAATATTATCATCAAAAAATATTTTTTTAAACATTCATGGAGACTTGGTCACTCACTGCTCACAATAATTTAATTTCATTAACCAATGACCTATTTCAATTCTACAATCATGACGCTACTTGTATACCATAGACCAGTGTTGGCAAATGCATGGTCCATTGGTGGTCTATTGTTGATCAATTGGTTCCATTATAGCCATATTTAGTAATTTATTAATGGCAATGGACCAGTCAATCTGCCAACCTTGACATAGACAAAGTGGTTGATGAAAAATCTGCGGACTTGTTGGTGTGGATAGAGAAAACAGGTGAAGAAATTTTTGTTGGGGAACAAGCCATACCTCCACTATGCCAACCCTGTATTAAGGTTACTAGAATTCATGGTAAGTTCCATTTGTAATTTTATGAATATCTTTTAATTGATCCATTCTAAATAATTCTATTATAGATGGTTATTAAATCCTAAGCAAAAAATAATGTGACGGCAAAACATGATAATGATACAATCCAGATTTTGAAAAGAAAATTTGATGAAATCACTCAAACAAAACAATCTCCATTAAAAATTGCAAAGAGATAATCCTAGCTAGAGAATTTTAGATTATAAAAGTTGTAGAAAATCATTTTAAATATATTATTGAAATAATCATTCTTTTAAATTTTTTATTTCATCACCACCTCATCTATAAAAAAACTTTTCAATATTAGTTCGGATTAGGTACAATTTTTGGGTAAGAACATTAGAAATTAATTCACTTTTTACATACTCTTTTCACTTTTGTAATAGTAGAGAAAAATCATCATCTTCATGTCTGTCCTTAGTTAGTTCACCATATTTTTTTAATTCTTTGCCAATTATCATACTTGATTTACTTTCAGATCTCTCCTTAGCAAAAAGATATAAATAAAGTATTTAAAATTCATGTATTGTTGGTTAAGCATGCAATCTGAAATTGATTCGTTTTATTTAATATTAATGATTTAGTGAATATTTTGATAAGATACAAGAATAAGTATTTCTTATGAAAAATGATAGAATTGCAAGGGAGAGAACATATGGCCCCTAGACCATTTGATGTATGCCCCCTTTACTCTGGCTCTAACAGGTAAAAAACTATTTATAACTATTGTTATAATCTATTATTTTATCGCCACTATTATTACCACTACCATCATTATTGTCATTTTTAACTATATATGACTTTATTTATTTTTTTTACTTTTGAATCAATCAAGCATTGATTGACTTGTTGTGAAAAAAAGAAAATGGTAGGAGAATATCTGTTAGAGAATTTTTATTTTATTTTATTTTACGTTGTAATTAAAAAATTTTTGAATTCACATAAATTTTGGAGTATTTAAAATCCACATTCCATAAAATTTTTTCACATATATGAATTTCAAATTCACATAATTTCGATTTCATCCACAACAGTCAGTACAATTGCACATAAAATGATCCACATGTTTTAGTGTATCATGCTATGCACCCACACAGGACCGGGAAAACTCTGTTGAATGTCACCGCCAACACTATGATTCGAAAGTACTTTAAAAAAGAGGAAAGGTGACCGCGACACTATAATTCGGGCCAATAGAGAATTACATTTAAATCCAAATAAGGAAAAAAAATCATGCCATAGGGGTTACTGACTAGCCAATTTTTGGTTAATTATTGTAAATTATTTCCTAAACAGAAAAAATCAACCAATCAACTTTCGAGATTCGTGTTAAATATGATCAGGCACTTAATTTGGCGGCGACATTCAATAGAGTTTTTCTGGTCCTGCCCACACCCTGAATTTCCAACACTATAAAAGAGTCGTCTATACATATTTCATACATGAAAATTTTTTTAGTGCTCAATACCCTCACCAATCAAATTTTGAGTGTACACGAATTAGGTATAAAAATAACAGAGTTAAAATTTAATTTACATATTGACTAAAAATAAATATATTAATATACAGTATATAAATTATAAATTATACATTTTATAAAAACAATAAAATTTGTAAATCTTCATATTTTTTTAATATGTCTCCTATTCCATCTTCTAGCAAAGATCTATTATATCCATGTAACTCTATTGTAAAAGGTTTAGGTCCCTTCCAATTATTCATTAGAATATCTAAACAATTGTCATTAGAAATAGTAACTTTACAAATAAAAACTATTGAATTTAATTTTTTTGGT